AAACAAAAGTATGTTGTATGTAAGGGATAGTTATACGAATGTAAAGTGTATGTTGCAGGGTAGTTACACGAAGTATGGTGTATGTGGGAGGGTATTTATACGGAGGTATGGTGAATGTAAGGGATGGTTATACGAAGGTATGGTGTATGTGGGAGGGTAGTTATGTGAAGGTATGGTGTATGTAGGGAAATAGGTATACACGTTATAGTATTTGTAGTCAAGTAGGTATGCGAATAATGGTGTATATAAGACACAGTATTTTGCACGAAAGGCACATAAAGGTGTAGTGTATGTGGGTGAACACAGTTATACGAAAATTATATAAATGTGTGTTTAATGTAGTAGATAGTAGTTATACGAAAGTGTAGGTATGGCTAATTTGCTAGATTTGTAACATCTATGTTACTATTTTTCTCACTCATGTTCATGTGATATAAATAACTCAAGATAAGAATTTTATAAATTGTCTTATAAGAGAGTCGGCGGAAACACAAAGAAACCAGTGCAGAACCTGGCCGGAACGGCTAGGTATCTTATTAGTGAGATGGTGTAAACGTAAGTAAAGCTCTTCTTTCAGACTTTAACATCAATAGGTCGTGTGCAGTAGATTTTTAAGTTTTCTTGACTTCGGCATAATTATGAAAGGATGGTGTGGTCAGCATTATACCATTACTTTACCCAACGTGAGTCAAGTACCCATTAGAGCTGAATGGAAAGAGAGCTGGAGTTGTGAGATAGAAACCAAAAAGAAAAAAAAAGAAACAACAAAAACAAATAATGTAAATTCTTTATTAACAGAACAATGCCCAACCAACTGTATATATTATGAAGCTTTTTTTTATTTTTAAAAAATATTTAAACACCAAAACAAAGCCAACTCGCTCCCGAGTAAAATTTATCTTCTTTAAACTAAAACAAAAAAGCTCTTCCAAAAATTAATCTGTGAATAAAAGATAAAAAAAAACAACAAATGCAAACGGAAAATCAACAGTTTTTAGCGAATCTACCTACAATATGTGTTCACATATTTCAGCCTGCAACTATACTTCTTGCTAGATGAAATGTAAAAAATTAATACCACAAGCAGCTCACCCCCCCCCCCCCCCCTTATTCCACGTAACTATCGTCCACAAAAAAAAATAAGTACATATAAGCACAGAGTAATGTTACTATAAATAACTCAAACTGCGAATGGATTTATAAATAAATTGCATAACTGTTGAATTCAGATGATGAATAAATTACATTAACTGCTAAATTCCGAAGATGAATAAATTACATCAACTGTTGAATTCAGGTAATGAATAAATTATATCTACTGCTAAATTCAAATGATAAATCAATTACATTAACTGTTGAATTCAAGTCGAAAAAAAAACGGGTAAGCCACTGATGCAATATTTAAGAGTAATACGTTGCGATTGACACAAATTAAATTACTGGAGCGAAATAAATGTAAGATGTACCTATACATCGAGGCAGCTAAATTTACCAAGAGATCAGCATGTGGTAAATTTTAGCCAATGTTTCAATGTAAATTAAAAGATCCTAAACTTTAAAATAAAAAAATAAATTATTTAATTAAAATTAATAAAAACCCTTCACTTTACAAGAAAATAAAATCAAATAAAAATTAATAAAAATCTTGTTTAACAAAATTTAAGTTTTATAGACAAAAAAAAATATTTTTATTTAGCACAAGTATTATAATCGCTTTTGAAAAGGCAAGGAAAAATGTTTCATAGTTACAGAAAAAAAAAATTTCGTTAGCCAATGATCTTATTGCTGCTAATTTCCGTAATGACAAGCATACTATCTGCCCCTTCCATTTGGGTTCTAAGATTAATAATGAACATTGCAAGCGCACCTGATTCAATATGTGTAAGTACTACTTAGTAGTGCTAGTGAATCAATGTAGTCAATTATGCAATAATGTTAACTATTACAAAGTCGAAGTAATATGAATATGAATTTAACGCTCATAGAACTGTACTTATGTGCAGGTTTAACGAAATCGCTTGATAAGAAATTGGTTCGAAATTTAGCTAAAAAGCAATCAACTTAACTAACTTATCAATTGATCCACCCTCTACATAGTTATCTACCCTTTTGTTATTTTTTTAATATATTAATTCTTTCATTACTTTTTAATGACTTCTCCTATTTTTAATTAGATGTGAACTAGAACAGTTGAGTAAATCTCTTGTTTACCAAGTTGAAGAGAAATAATTGCTTCATAAGTAATGGGTTCCAAATTAGGTTTAAAAACTTGACAACAAACAGACACATAGACTAACGCAATGACAGCATTGGAATGCTAAGTAAAAAGCTTGTTATAAAAAACGAAAGTATCCTTTGCCAATAAGCATATAAAAAGCCCACGAATGGGGATGAATAAGGCATACAGTGAGAAAGAAAGAAAATAATATGGCGAGGAAACATTACACTGAAATCTCCAGGAGTAGAGGAAAGTAGGTCGTCAAAGAAATCCTGGAGGATCGATGACGATGGACTTCTGCTGGGCTTACACTGGCGCAAATAAAGACAGACGCCCAAAACAGAGTCCAATGGAAAGGTGTGGTTGCAGCTCTTCATGTGCCACAAAAGAATAAAGGAAGTAAGAAAAGTGAATAATCACATTGACTTAATGGCTCTTATAGCTGCTGCCCAGCATAGAAATTACTTCTGTTGAGTGATACATACATTGAACAGAAGAGACCAATGCAAGTAAATAAAACCCGTTGAACAGCAGCTAAAATTCAACAGTTTTTAATGTAAACAACACAAATAAAATAATTTAAATCACAGTTTATCCATTGGGGTCTCCAGTTTAATCGTAATGTGTAGATCATTACATTTAAATCATAATTATGTAGGTCGAAATATGTAGATCATAACATGTAGATCATATGTAGGTCGTAATATGTAGACCATAACATGTAGATCGTAATATGTGGATTACATATTGTATTATTCTACAATACATGAGTTAACATTTTTGTTGTGTTAATGTTGCTAATGAAAACACTGATTTGATTTCATGGCAAGGCTAAAAAAAAACAGAGCACAATGTGTTTTGTTTTCAGAAACAATAACATAATATTGAATATCAATTTTAAAAATATGTTATAATTACAAAAAAATGGTTTTCGTTTACAAAAAATGCTTTGTATAACAATGACATTTAATTTACATGGAATTCAAAAACAAGAGCTTTAGAGTATTTGTAAAAAATATTTGCTGTAAATTTATATGTACATATACTTATACATGAAAATGGAATGTTATTGAAATATCAGCGTTAAACACGTCCTCAGTTAATATGCTATAGATCTGTGATAGCCATTTGCAAGGGTGGCCATATTGTTGTGCTTGGTGTTGTGTTATGTTGTCTAAGCAAAAATAGTTCCTAATGCCCTCCCATGTGCTATTTTGGTTAAGATCATTCTGTCTTCCCAAGTGCTGTTTTTTTTAGCTCATTATGTCTTCTAAAGAGTTGTTCTTTAGCTCATTCTGTCTTCCAAACAGTTGTTTTTTAGCTCATTATGTCTTTCCAATTGCTATTTTTTAATTTGATCCTGTCTTCCCAAGTGCTATTTCGTTTAGCTCATTATGTCTTCCCAAGGACTGATTTTATTAGCTTATTATGTCTTCCCAAGTGCTGTTTTTATTAGCTTATTCTGTCTTCCCATTAGCTGTTCTTTAGCTCATTCTTCTTCCCACGTACACATTTTTTTTATCTCATTCAATCTTCACAAGTGCTATTTTTTTAGCCTATTGTGTCTTCCCAATTGCTGTTTTGGTTTAGCTCATTCCGTCTTCCCATCTTCTAGTTTAGCTCATTCTGTCTTCCGATGAGCTGATTCGGTTTAGCTCCTACTGTCTTAGCATTGGTCCTAGTGGGTCAGCTAAAGCTGACTTAACATTACAAGGGCCCTTATCGATTAGTTTCTACTGTATGCTTCAGCCCTATTGGCTGGAAATAAGGTCAAGTGAAGAGTAAATCATATTGACTAATTACATCCCGTGAATAATATATCACATTGATATTTGCATATTGGAGAATGTATATCGACCTGTAAATATAAATCACATTGACTATTTTCATCCCTAGAATAATACATCACATTGATATTTATACATTGGAAAATGTATATCAAACGGTTTATTATATCCTGTGAATATTTTATCAAAATGAGTATTTATATTTCATGAACAGTTCACCACGTTCAATATACATGACCGTGAACAGTATATCACATAGACTTTTAAATCATGGTACAGATGGAAGGCAACATTCCTGCGACGGAGGAGTTCTGTTGGGAATATGGCCAGATCCCACTTGCCTCATGGTACATTTGAAAGGCAACATTCCCTGCCAAGAGGAGTTTGGATGAGCCTGTGGAGACTATGGCCAGACCCCACTTGCTCTTCTTCCCATGGTGTATGACCCGCACATAACTTTGAACGGTCAGTGAACTCAAATCTCTGGGCCTGTAGGAACATTGACTGATGACGTCATAAAAAGACTTTTATCCCATATTTTCTCACATCAAACCACATCATAAGGAAGCTTATTTATCCCATATTTTCTCACATCAAACCACATGATAAGGGAGCTTATTTATCCCATATTTTCTCACATCAAACCACATGATAAGGGAGCTTATTTATCCCATATTTTATCACATCAAACCACATGATAAGGGAGCTTATTTATCCCATATTTTCTCACATCAAACCACATGATAAGGGAGCTTATTTATCCCATATTTTCTCATTTTATGTCACACCGTAATGAATTTTTTATATATCCCATATTTTCACACTTTATATCACATCACGTGGAAAAATATATATATTTATCCCAAATTTTTCTCACTTCAAGCTAGTGTGATATGTAGTTAATTAAAGTACAAAACGGAAGAACGGGGCACAAGGCATATTCACTCTTAATTTCAAATGAGCACACAAACACAGTATAAAACACTAATAATATTTCACACGTCGTGTGGAGTTATACATGCCCCCTCTTGTATCCATTGGTTCATATCATGGATTTTGTTAAAAGTATGAGTGTGTAATTTTTTACATACTTGACACCCCACAGATGAAATGCCTGCGGGGATTTCAGTCACGTGCCTGTATTTGTCTTTCTCTGCCAGGTAACCGGCGTACCTGTTTAAGTCACTGGCCAGATTTTTCAAAAACAAAGCCAAATCTTTCGGCGTTTTGAAATCAGCCGCGTTGATCATGGTGTTGTTGGGGAGATACTGACCGTACGGCGCCCCTCCACGGGCTACGGGGATGATGTGGGTGTCGGGATTGTAGGCTTTGAATAGTTTTTCTGTGATGTAATCTTTACAGTGGGAGTTTTCAAAAGACAGGTAAAATTTGTAGTGATGTCGGAGTAGGTCATCGCAGACTTCCTGCTTGCATGGTTGACCGCAGGCCCCGTAAATATCAACCTCAATGTATTTCTGAAAATAAAATGCACACACAATTTAACCGATTTTAAACAGATACAGTATTTATAATTCAGAAAAATATAAGAAAAGGGGGTCAAATATAAGTTACAGGATCCGCCTCAACCTACGGCAAACAGAAATTGTGAACTAAATTAAAAGCGTATAAAAGTCTCAAAACTTTTGGTCGGCTGGGGATAGCGATTAGTCGGGGGAAAATGAACGAAGTTGGCAAATACATGTTGGATTTAAGTGGTAGGCTGTGGTATAAAAATTTTTTATTGCCTTCAAACTAATTTTTTTAATGAATTTTTAAATTGTGGGTTCGTTAAAAACACCAGTTTTAATGCCCCAACATTTCCCAAAATTTAGTGTTATTAATGGATATTTTTTTGAAAATTCATAATAAACTAGTTTGAATGTATGCATTTCAAATTTTTAGCTAAGTACCTTAAAATATGGTAGAAGATTATGAATTCATTGTTTATTGGACTTAAAATATAATATTTTATGAATGGTGGAAATCCTTCCCGGGGTTAATGTGTCAAGATGGCCGCCGTTGTCATAGTTACCAAGGTTTCCCCCCACATTTTTTTTTTAAACAACATGTGCAGATGTAGGCTACTTTGAAAAAGCTAAAGATAAATAATTGTTTTCTATCAATAATTGTTTTTTTCCAGGAGCCAAGTCCCCACTTTAGACTAGCAGAGACCTACCTGCATCTCCTGTACGTAGTTGTTGCGCTTTGACGGAGCTCCGCAGTTTGAGACCATCCACATTGCCATTTTAGTTTTGCTCTTTGCTATCTCATCTGAGCAATGATACAGGAAAAACATTATCATAGAGTTTGTTTGCTTTTTGTCTGAGATCGTTTGTCCATGATATCTTGTGTCAGTGTCGTATTTTGTCTCTGAGTTTATTTATCATATATATATATATATATATATATATATATATATATATATATATATATATATATATATATATGTATATATATATATATATATATATACATATACATTTATATATATATATATATATATATATATATATACATATACATATATATATATATATATATATATATATATATATATATATATATATATATATATATATATATATACATATATATATATATATATAATTATAAAACAGAAACGAACGCACAGACCCACAAACCACATCAAACACATGCAATACATACTGAAGAATTCAACAGACATTTTAAACGCATTTTAAGGCGAAGACGAAGCCCCAGTGCGGGGAGTGACACACTACCTAGCGGCTTATGTTACAGTCACTAACGCACTCTGTACCTACAGTAATTGGGCAGCTCCTGCTGTGGTCTAGGTGAGTAAACGAGACGGTCGTACGGCACAAACACGTCAGAGTCGGTCCTGTAGTGGATGGTCATGTTGAATGCTTTGTTCCAGACTGAACCGGCATCTGAGAGATCAGAATTAATAAAAAAACTTTTTTTGCACATTCTCAGAATCATTTTCAGAACGTGAAGTTGGTATCTGGACATTGCTCGCGATGTGGTTATCAAATTCGGAATGGATGGTGTTTGTGGATTCCCAATACGCTAAATTTACATTACATTTAATATTCAATATTTAAAAAATTTGTATTTTGGTTGTTTACAAATTTAAAAATCACGGGATCTATTTTAATAAATTAATCTGCGCATTGAAACTGATATAAAGATAGAGATAGAGGATATGATACTATTTGTGCTTAAACATTATAATGTTGGGTATGATTGTAGTTGTGAATAGAAAGGACGAGTACTACATATAGCATCAAGCTTCTACCTGAGATAAAGCTCGCGTGTGTATGTATCGGAGACTCCCACATCATCACTCCATAGATCTGGTGAGCCCAGCGCTGTGGGGGACGAAATCCGTCGCTCAAACCCACGGCATACACCAACACGACATCTGTCATCTCGTTGACGTTAGTATCGACGAATTTACAGTTGGAGAATTCGCAGGATGCGAAATCAAAATCGCTGTCAGGTATCCAAGATGGCCGCCTAAGAACGGCGATGGAGTAGGTCTTCGTGTCGTTGGAATTGGCACGAGTACCATTTGGGCATAAGATGTAAGGGGAGGTATTGCATGGGGCTAGGATCGACACACTAGTTCTGTTTGTCGTCGTGGGTGTCGATGTTGTCGTGGTAGCGTTCTCAAGTAGGTGAAGATGAGTCCAAGAAAGTGTGGTGTTCGTGACGTTGGTTAGGTTGGTGGTGTAACAGGTGGCGCATGATGTATTGTTGACCGGTGATGGCGTTTCGAGAAGAGGGGAGTAAATATCGCTGATGTTGATAATCCCCAGGGTAGAAAGAGGCAAAATTTGATTCCATTTGATGATGTCGTTGTTGAGGTAGATGATGAGGAGCAAGCTGAACGCCACGCTGATGTAAAGTGTGATTCGCTTTTCTGGCACGTATTTGAGCAAACTGAAACACACAATAAAATTGCTTAAACAAAATGAATAGAGCGGGAGTGATCTCCCCTAAACTTTCTCGATATATACAGATACAACACAGCAGTAGATGGGAACTAGGGATATAGGCAGGTTTTTAAATCAATTTTTACATACTTATACATTTTAAAAATAGAATAGAATCTTGTAGAAAAAAGAAATTGCGGCAAATTAAATATTTAAAAAATGCGTTTATAACAGTGCTGAACATTAAAACTTTATAAATTCATATGCGGTCACCGAAAATTACTCAAAATTTGACAGAAAAAAGAAAATTAAATCTTTAATATGTGAAATGTCATCTATCTATAAGAAACAGGACTCAGGGTATAGGCTTTTGAAAAACCGAAAGTAGAATAAATTCCACTTTCGTTTACCAGAAATCGCGAAAAAGTTGATGCAGAATTACAAATTAGATGTAATAGTTATATTTGAAATTTCAACAAACTAGCTGTAGCAGTATTGAAGTTATCGTGTTTAAAGACACAAACACAGACACACAGACAGACAGACATACAGACAACATTGCAAAATTAAGTTTTTCCGACTCTACGTTTTACATAAAAGCTTGTTATTAAAACGTTTTTTATGATTTTTTTTTCAGTACTTTAAAATTTTTAAATTTACAATAGAGTTGCATGACTAAAAACCATTACTCACCTAATGAACTTGATAACGCGTGTATAATAGTGCGGAATAGTTGAGTAAGACTGCCTACTAATTTTGTCAAAATTTAATTAATCCATAAAAATTAATTAGGCAACCAATTACGTCAAAATTAATGTCTTGTTGCATTGTCTTCATGTTTTGACCCACGTACCAAGTACGAACCAAATCTATTTGTTAGAAGTGCCTGAATTTTCGCTCGGGCGTTTCGATCTAGAAAGACAGACGACTTGCGACATAGGAAACAATTTCAATAAAAGCTTTTAAAAAATGTTATACATTTTTTTAATAAAAAGCTTTTATATAATAATGCACTAAAAAGTAGAAAATAAATTATACACTACTATGTAAATAACTATAAAGAAAAGCGTGGGTCACTTTAATATCTATTGGATACCTTTACTAGTATTTAGGAAGAGACCCACGCTTTTCTTTATAGTTATTTAAACGTTTTTTATAAAATTGTTTTTCAGTACTTTAAATTTTTTATTTACATTAGAGTTGCATGACTAAAAACCATTGCGCACCTAATGAACGTGATAACGCGTGTATAATAGTGCGGAATAGTTTAATAAAACTGCCTACTTATTTGGACACAATTTTAATTAGTAGTGTATAATAGTGCGGAATAGTTGGGTAAGACTGTCTACTTATTTGGTCAAAATTTAATTCATTCATAAAAAATAATTAGGCATCCTATTAAGTCAAATTTAATGTTATATTGCATTGTCTTCATGTCTTGACCGACGTGCCAACGTCGAAACAAATCTGTCGTTTAGAAGTGTCCGAAATTTCGCTCGGGCGTTTCGATCTAGACAGACAGACAAACTGACGAGGAAGTGAATTAAACAGAAGCTGGTGAAAATAGAATGATTTTCTCAAAGCAAATAGAACAGTGTCTCACTGGTCATTGTGTGAAGAATAAAAATTTATTCCTGCAGTAACAAGACATAGTAAATTTTTTTTTAATTTAACACGTATTTCTATAAATTTATTTCCCCGAAGTTCGTTCTTTAAATTCGCATGCTACTTATCTACCTCATTACGTTTGTTTTCATGAGTGTATTGAGAGAGAAAAGTCAACTCCCCCTCTCCACCGTGACTAACTCGCTTCTACGCCGATGTTATAGTTTGACTCAGAGGCGTAGCGATGGGGGGGGGGGCAGGGGGGGACATATGTCCCCGGGCGCCGACCTTAGGGGGCGCCAAAATGGGTTGTAAAAACAAATTAAAATGTCATTTTAGCTACATTTTTGCAGTTTGAGGGGGGGGGGGGGGTGCAAATCGAAAGTTTGAGGGGGGGGGTGCAAATTGAAAATTTGCATCCGAGGGGCGCCGAATTGAAAGTTTGTCCCCAGGCGCCGGGAAGGGTCGCTACGCCTCTGAGTTTGACTGCTTTTGTAATGTATAGTTGTAAACGACCTTCCTACATGAACTAACATTTAGCAAGCAACGGGGAGGGCATTGATTGTGTTCACACAAAGGCGTGTGCATGAATAAATCAGCCAGTGCTAAATAGTTTCACAATACTTCAATTGTGGGGATAGACATGCATTGAATTTATTGTTGAGAAGTTCGTGCTTTTTAAATAATAGCTTATATAAATCAATAGCAGACAATGACTTCATTAAGTTCGTACTTCTTAAACACTACCTTTTTTTCAATCAGTAACAAAGATCTAATTAAATTCTTAAATAATAGATGCTTGAAATCAATAACAGAAACTGCCTCACTAGGACTGAATACGTTAAATTATTTTTTCAAAATTCTGTTCATTTCCTATTCAATGAATCTAACCTACTGAGTCAGTTTACGTAGCGTTAGTAGACAGGTAGTTTCATGTAGACAAAACTTAAGTAGTTAGCATATAGATATGAGACATAGTATACCTACAACAAACAAGTAATTTAACCATAAAGAAAAGACAGGCAGATATTCACTAGGCATGAAACAGGTAGTTTACCTGTAGACATTAAACAGGTAATTTAGCCATTCGTATGAGTCAGTTGGAATACCTATAAAAATGAGGTTTATTTATAAAATGAAGGCAGTTTTTCTATAAACATTAAACATTTAACTAAAGACGTAGAACGGATAATGATTTACCTAAAGCCACTAAACTCGTAGTTTGTTAATAAAACAAAAACTCGTGTCGGTAAGCTCCATAGTTGTAACTCATACACCGCGTAATATATATATATATATATATATATATATATATATATATATATATATATATATATATATATATATATATACGAGCCGACCCGCGGCATATCATACGCCGCTATTTAGTTGTTGTTTTTTCTACTTTTCAGTAATTCATAATTTGTGAATTCGACAGTACCAACGCTGCCACTGAAAATATTTCTTTAAAACACTATTAGTAGCTCGTTAAGGACGATAACCCCCCTCCATCCCACTCTCTCCGTTAAAGTACACTCCACTTAGTTACCCCCCCCCCTCCCCCTACGTTTAAAATCGATTCAAACTAAATTATCTGCCCCTAATAGTAGTCACTAAACCCGGCTCTGCTTGTAAATATTTAGCGTGAACCACAGCTCACCAGACCATGTAGGGGTGGGGGTGGTAGGGAGCGCGCTTACAGCTTGTTTTCTAGCGTCTCCCAGAAGGAATTTTATATATATATATATATATATATATATATATATATATATATATATATATATATATATATATATATATATATATATATATATATATATATATATATATATATATATATATATACATATATATATATTAAGCTACTCAAATACCGGGGATAATTGTTCATGTACCGTGGGTATCAAGCCTGTTTCAGCTGTTTCTTTGTGTTTCAAATTCATTGTCTTTTTTATGGCTACCGTCTCAAGTTGTTTGAACGATTACTTAGGAAAGGATTTAATTAATCCTGGGCGGATATTATGGGCTTATATATTTTTTATATTTTGTACACACGACGTAATCCAGATCTGGTTGAGAGCTATATGACGCCCAAGTATGTGGTCTTCCCGCAGTCGGTGGTGTTCACGAAACCCCCATACACAAAGACACCCTAGCTGAAAATTACACGGACCCCTGGTTTAGAACTTAGTTTCTGTTAGACATTTTAATTCCGCGGAGGGTGGTGGTGGTTGTGGCATTTGAAATTCCGATGGGGGCAGGATATTTATTTTCCTATTTGAAAGGCTACAGATAATGGCCTGGGGTTGAATGGTGCATTAAAGTCAGAAGGTTTAAAAAAAAGCCCATTGTGTGCCACGTAGGAGAATTCTTTATAACCGGTTCTAAACTACTGTAGATCTATGCTGTGTAGTTTTAAGACAAAACGAGACAGAAGGGGTTCAGACGACTATTTCGCAATCATGTATTTTAATCGTTCAATATTTTGAATATAAAACATAGGAAAATCGTGTCTACGCTGTATTTTAAAAATTAAATAATTATTTTTTTTCAATTTGCAAATTTAATTCTTGTTTTAAAATAAAGAGCAATTACAATTAGTTGTGCGTGTAATGTTTAAACAATTAGGCCATAATTTGCTCTTATTATCTTGTTATTAAATACAAAAATCAATGAAAGCTTGTTTTAAACTATATAAAACATAGAGTAGTAAAATGATACTAATGTGCATTTTATACTAATTCTATACTACAGTTATGGCAAATTATAAATAAATGCATATATATATATATATATATATATATATATATATATATATATATATATATATATATATATATATATATATATATATATATATATATATGGTTGAGGCTATACCAATTCGACTGGGAATAGCCCATATGGCTATTCTCAGCCGGCTATCATTTCGTGTAACATAACGGCTGTATATCATACAACAACAATAGAATTCATCGCAGTTCAGGTAGCTTTAGCGAAAAGCGGTATATTTTATTGCGTTTTGTTTTGATAAGAAAAAAAAATGTTAAAGCTTTTAGCGTATGTTCTCCGTTGATTAAGGATAGACACTTCGTTCTTAGTAAATTATTCATGCAGAGGAGTGGCTGGATAATACGTTAGGAATCGCGATTTAGGGTGGGGCGGTGGGTTCGGATCCCGTTTGGCCCAAACTGTTCTTTTCTTTTCAAGTTTTTATGCATATCTGAGAGGAAAAATAGTACTTTATAAAATAAAAACTGTAATTAGTTTATTTCAAAGTAATTAAAACAAGTCACATTTTATGACACGGTGTATTGTCATGGAGTCTTGGCCTACGTGATAAGTTTGAAACCAATCAATCTGGTGGAAGTGATAGTTTTGGATACATCGGAAATACCGTAACGTACTACTTCTTTCAGTCACCAACTCAATCAAAATTTAGTAAAGGAACTCATCAGAACTGAGTGGACTCAGGGACGTCCGTCCGGTAGGAGTGATATGTTTTGAGAAATTTGAAATACCGTAAAGTTCTACTTCTTTCAGTCACCCGAAATCACTCACAGTTTAGCTAGGGAACTCATCAGAGCTGAGTGGACTCAGGGACGTCCTGCTGACTTAAACTCGGATAAGATAATATTGCAGTGTTTACTAATATTCATTGGCGTCGCCACAGGGGTATGGCAGTGATACTCAATATTCGTTGGTGTCAGCTAGGGGGGGGGTGTTTGTCGAAAGGGCTTATCAGTGGCGTCGTCATAGGGGTAAGGCAGTGCCTGATAATATTCAGTGGCGGCACCGCGGGGATTGAGGGTGAAGGGGGGGGGTCAAAACTGTGCCTATTAAAATATTCAGCAGCGGCTCCGTGGAGAGTAGGTTAGTGTCTGTTAATATTGAGTGACATCGCCCTAAGAAAGTGTCAGTGCTTATCGATTATCAATGACAGCTATATGTGTATCTAACACTGTTTACAAGTATACACTTGTGTCGCAATTGTAATTGCTTGTTCCATTGTTTACACAAATTAACTACTCTTTCCAACCAGACCACGATAACGCCATTTTCACGCTGTACCCAGATCATCGATTGTTCTAATTATTTTTGTTTATTCAGCCATAAGTCAACACAGTATGCATCGGTAGCATGATGTTTGGGCGTATTAAGATACCTAAAAATGATAGCGTCGCGTGGTGGGAAGTGGGGGGGGGGGGGGGGGGGGGGGGTAGGTGCTTTAGATGTAGATCTCATCGGGTGCACTGATGGAAGTAGGAAAAAAAATCACCCTTATCAACAAAACGAACATAATTTTCCACGCTTAAAAGGCCTTCGGAAAATATACCTTAAAAATGTTTAATTTTAAGAGTGCCCCGTGGAGTTGAAATAAATAAGACGAAAGAGCAAGAAGAAACTAACAACAGTATATACTAATTTAGAGTTTAACAAAAGTTCGTAAAAAAAATATTTACAAAATTTAAAGGAGTGCAGTTGCACTCGAAAATACGAACATATTTGCATTAAAATTTGAAATGTAAAATATTTTTTTATATATTTTTTTAAATCAGATTTTATCCATCCTCCTCCCGCTACATCACCGACGTAAATTTATACAATTAAAAAATTCATAAAAAACGTTTTAATAACAAGCTTTTATGTAATGATGCACTAAAAAGTAGAAAATAAATTATAGACTACTATTTAAATAACTATAAAGAAAAGCGTGGGTCACTTTAGTATCTATTGGATACCTTTACTAATGTTAAGGAAGACACCCACGCTTTTCTTTATAGTTATTTAAATAGTAGTCTATAATTTATTTTCTACTTTTTAGTGCATCATTACATAAAAGCTTGTTATTAAAACGTTTTTTATGAATTTTTTTTCAGTACTTTACATGTTTTATTTACAATAGAGTTACATGACTAAACACCATTGCGCGCCTACTGAACATCACGTTCAGTAGCCGCGCAATTGTTTTTGAACGCAGCCATTACGTGATGGCGCAGCTATTGAAGGTGATGACGCGTGTGGTGTGGTTGGCTAGACATGCCTACTAATTCGGTCCAAATTTTAATTAATTCATAAAAAATTAATTAGGCATCCAATTAAGTCAAATTTAGATTCAGATTGCATTGTCTTCATGTCTTGACCCACGTGCCAACTGTGAATCGTATCGGTCAAGTAGAACTGTCCGAATTTTCACTCCTGCGTTTCCGTCTAGACTGACGACTGACGAGGAAGTGAGTTAAATAAAAGCTTGTAAAAAGACATTCGTCGTAAAGTCGCCTAAACGATAGACGGTCTTTCCGGCTGCGTTTAGTTCCGGAAATTGTTGCAAACACAACTGTGTGGCTATGGAAGAAAATTCTACCAACATTTGAGTATGAAAGCGTAACAAATAAAGTAAGCGTTCTTAGTTTGACCATAACATTTTAGAATATTATCCGTTTTTTAAAAGGTAGTTAAGGTGAGAATTTTGGGCATAAAATAGGTTCGTACGTATTTCCCTACATTACCCACTTCCTCACCAAGCTACGCTGTTGTTTCGCCAATGTATAATTGTGTTGCGGACTCCTTTATAAATAATAACCGTTTTTGTGTTGAAATTTGTACAATAACCACAGCTATCATTGTGTTCAATAATCAAACAGTGACTTTAAAGAAACAAATCTTTTAAATTAAAAAAAAAAAAATTTTTTAAGTTCGTGGACGAATTTTAGACTTGTTCACAGATCAATCGCCCCTCCCTTATTCCCCCCCCCCCCCCCCCCCCGACATCGCTAAGAATCACAATGGTGGATATTCCATTATTTGTACGTGACTCGACAATTAACAACCCGCTGTGACTGTCCACGCATGACTGAGCACTAACTGTTAACATAACGCAGAGGGGCATCGGGGGAGGGTGTGTTAAAACATTCAACGGCTTTGTATTGTTTCACTTTAAAAAATAACTGCTTTGAAGACACACAAACATTACGGCGATCGAACATTGTTTAAATAACTTCAGTGGTTTAAACAATCAAATTTAAAATACGTCCAGGTGCGTAGAAGAAGACTAGATTTAACCTATACGAGCCGACCCGCGGCATATCATTCGCCGCTTTTTAGTTGTTGTTTTTTCTACTTTTCAATAATTCATAATTTGTGAATTCGACAGTACCAACGCTGCCACTGAAAATATTTCTTTAAAACACAATAAGTAGCTCGTTAAGGACGATAACCGTTCTAATTACTTGATGGCGCGGCAGAGCTAGAATCAATACACACTGGCGTTAGTTTTACATGTCAATGTGTTGATGTGTCTTTAGGGTTCGTGTGCCAGCCAAAAAAACAAAACAAAACAGTACACAATCGATTGATATTGAAGGTCCCATGTCGACAACATGAAACGGCTTCAACGGGGTATGAGCTTTTATTTAGTTCACCATGTCTGTTCGTTTGTTTGTTAATTTGTTTGCTCATAAAATATACACGTTTTGTCGTCAAAACTTTATTAAGTAACAAATTTTCTTTACATATTTTCAGAGCATTTAAAATCTTGTTTTTTTTTAAAGTTTTTTTTTTAAGTTGTTATTTTTAAGGTTTTTTTATGCGATGTCGTTCATCTAACTGAAAATGCACTCAAGTTACTTACAGACAGACACTATAAATTGTAAAACTGTTTTCCGAATTTGAAAGGTGTAAAACGTCGAGATTTGTTAAAATAGATCGATTTCAACTTTTGCACCATTACAATACTGCCGTACACGATAAAGTGAAACAAGCAAATATAAACACGTTTAGCCTCATCTTCAGTCGCAATTCGTTTCAAAAAAGCAAACCATATTCACGACTAAATATATAACCAAACCATATTCACGACTAAATATATAACCAAACCATATTCACGACTAAATATATAACCAAACCATATTCACGACTAAATATATAACCAAACCATATTCACGACTAAATATATAACCAAACCATATTCACGACTAAATATATAACCAAACCATATTCACGACTAAATATATAACCAAACCATATTCACGACTAAATATATAACCAAACCATATTCACGACTAAATATATAACCAAACCATATTCACGACTAAATATATAACCAAACCATATTCACGACTAAATATATAACCAAAACATATTCACGACTAAATATATAACCAAACCATATTCACGACTAAATATATAACCAAACCATATTCACGACTAAATATATAACCAAACCATATTCACGACTAAATATATAACCAAACCATATTCACGAGTAAATATATAACCAAACCATATTCACGACTAAATATATAACCAAACCATATTCACGACTAAATATATAACCAAACCATATTCACGACTAAATATATAACCAAACCATATTCACAACTAAATATATAACCAAACCATATTCACGACTAAATAATTAACCAAACCACACTCATGACTAAATATATAACCAAACCATATTCACGACTAAATAATTAACCAAACCACACTCATGACTAAATATATAACCAAACCATATTCACGACTAAATAATTAACCAAACCACACTCATGACTAAGTATATAACCAAACCATATTCACGACTAAATATATAACCAAACTCAAACCATATTCACGACTAAATATATAACCAAACCATATTCACGACTAAATATATAACCAAACCATATTCACGACTAAATATATAACCAAACCATATTCACAACTAAATATATAACCAAACCATATTCACGACTAAATAATTAACCAAACCACACTCATGACTAAATATATAACCAAACCATATTCACGACTAAATAATTAACCAAACCACACTCATGACTAAATATATAACCAAACCATATTCACGACTAAATAATTAACCAAACCACACTCATGACTAAATATATAACCAAACCATATTCACGACTAAATAATTAACCAAACCACACTCATGACTAAATATATAACCAAACCATATTCACGACTAAATATATAATCAAACTCAAACCATATTCACGACTAAATATATAACCAACCCATATTCACGACTAAATATATAACCAAACCAAACTCATGACTAAATAAATAACCAAATCACACTCATGACTAAATAAATAACAAAACCACACTCGTGACTAAATAAATAACCAAACTACATTCTCTTTAAATTAGTTTCGTCGATTTCAAGCAAATAACTTTATTAACTCCAGGCTTGGCTAAGAAAAAAAAATATAACTTCTGTTTCTGCACGATTACAGATCTAGTTTCGTAACTTTAATTTGATCTAATTTAAACACACAATTAGTCTTCAAACTTAAATTTACCAAGTCTAGAATCTTACTTAAATGAGATTTACCTTTTCAATAACGATGGTTCATCCATGTTGTGATAGTGTTTGATGCGTCACCCGGCAGTTAGTGTTGAAGCATGTTACTTGTGTAAACCTGTAGTGTGTACTGTGACAGCTGTCGCATTAGAGCTAAATAACTCGTCAGCTTCCTTGAATAATTCTGTTTAAGTACTGATCCAGCTGTTCGACTAAGGCTATAACACGTTGGCTTCCTTGAATAATTTTGTTTTATGTAATAATCCAACTGTCCCAGTATTACTATAACACATTGGCTTCCTTGAATATTTCTATTTTATGTACTGATCCAACTGTTCCACTATGGCTATAACACGTTGGCTTCCTTGAATAATTCTGTTTTATGTACTGATCCAACTGTCTCAGTATAGCTATAACACGTTGGCTTCCTTGAATAATTCTGTTTTATGTACTGATTCAACTGTTCGACTATGGCTATAACACGTTGGCTTCCTTGAATAATTCTGTTTTATGTACTGTTCCAGCTGTCCTAGTATGGCTATAACACGTTGGCTACCTTGAATATTTCTATTTTATGTACTGATTCAACTGTTCCACTATGGCTATAACACGTTGGCTTCCTTGAATAATTCTGTTTTATGTACTGTTCCAGCTGTCCTAGTATGGCTATAACACGTTGGCTACCTTGAATATTTCTATTTTATGTACTGATTCAACTGTTCCACTATGGCTATAACACGTTGGCTTCCTTGAATAATTCTGTTTTATGTACTGATCCAACTGTCTCAGTATAGCTAAACTACTTTGGCCTACCGTCTCAGACAACAACTGCTGATTTTCAATTCAATCTAGCTCTTTCCTTGATGCATACACTCCAAATCTATTCACGCGACACCGTGCTACTAATGTCGAACCATTCTCGTTCAATGGTTCTGTTTTGTGTTATGCGTCACCTGTCGCACAACAAGCTAATTACTCGCGTCCTGTTACGTCACACGCTGATTTACGATATCAATCATTAATAAGTTAGCTCTTCCTCTTGTTCAGTACCTGGGGAATATAGAGATAAATAGTACGAATATTAGTATCATCGAGGTCACTCAGGATAGTATATTTCTTCTGCTTCATAATCTCATCAAGAAATCAACAACGATAACTACGTGAATAATAAATAGTCTTACGTTTATTTAGTAGCTGTATATTATTATATTAAAAATAATTGTAAGTAGTAAAACATTTTGATTAAATAAACATAGTCCCGTTTAAATGTTACGTTTCTCTAATGCAGTCATAATAAATAGTATGTTTTGTGTCGATGTTCATATTTTTATACACGTATGTTTTTATAACAGTTATATATATATATATATATATATATATATATATATATATATATATATATATATATATATATATATATATATATATATATATATATATATACATATATAATACATAATTTAAAGAAACTTATGTTTATAGACAATGTTTTTCTGCACACATGTGTTTACACATTTATTTTTTATACAAATATTCTTCCCCGCTATCAAGCCGATAATTTATATTTGTTAAGAGCTGTCTTTTTTTTTATCGATTACTCTTTCCATTCATAAAGCGATGGCCCAAGTATACTTAATCCGAATGGGTGTGAATGGATAAATAAACTGTCACAGGTTGATGAATACAGGTCTGGGTTATGAGTTTGTACTAATATCTTCTTCTTCTTCGTTCTAAATTTTAGTGAAGGAAGGGATCCCCTTCAACACAATTAAGTATACGTGTCAACAGAGGCGTAGCCAGGGGGGGGGGGCGGGGGTTGCGGACCGCACCGGGTGACACCATTTAGGGGGGTGACACCAAGGCAAAAAATAGCAAAGTACATAGAGAAAAACTTGAGGGGTGCAAATTGAAAGTTCGAGGGGGTGGGGGTGCTAATTGAAAGTTTGAGGTGGGGGGCGTGCAAAACGAAAGTTTGAGGGGGGGGGGGTGCAAATCGAAAATTTGAAAGTTTGTCCCCGGGAAGGGTGGCTACGCTTCTGGGGGTTGACACTATTAAGTGCCGCACTGGGTGACACCCGACCTCGCTACGCCACTGCGTGTCAACTGGTTATGCGGCAGTGAGGCCTTTGACTCCAATTCCAGCTCTTCTTGGATTTGATTTCTTTGTCCAACCAAGAACAAAATACAAAGCAGCGGTGTTTTTATTTTGGAGTTGTCTCTCCTAGAAGAGCGGCTGTCCCCAGCTGACGAGCTTCATCTGCCCGAGGGTTTGAACTCGAGACTTGGTTTTGCAACCATAAGTTTACCGACTCGACCACGTCGACCCCTAAATTTGCTTTATATTGTGAAATCATCTAAAGTTATATTTCGAAAAGGGTGTGAAAGAAACATTTTAAAAAAGTTACCTCTACGAACGGGTTGGTGTTATATTCAGGGTTGGACTTAAACCAATGTCTATGGTTGGGTTTGGTTTTGGGTTAAGTTTAGGCTCAGGTGAATGCTTAGGTTTTGGTATTTTTCTTAAGATTAGGATTAAGGTAATATATAGATACAGAGTTGGAGTTAGAGTCAGGATTCTTGAACTTGGGGGAGGGGGGGTGGTGGCGGGTAATTGACAGGGTGGTAATTATCCGGGGGTAATGATGGGGGCGGGGGGAAATATCCGGGGGGGGGTAAAATTGACGGGGATGGGGAAATGTCCTAGACACAATTTTATTATCCAAAATGTAAAAAAAAATATGGTAGAACTAAGTCATGTGGTTTAAAATAGTATATTTTTATTTTAACATTTTATCGGCAAAGTTTTGTAAACAAATTACTATGATGCATGTGGGGCTGTCAGAATTTCGATCACGGAGTAAAACCAATCAATGTTTCTTACAAATGTGAAACTTTGTGATCTAACTTAGGCTTGATGAAAATAAATAGAGATATTGCATTTAACTAAAAAAACTATTTTTAAGTTCTCTGGATTTGCAACGTCTTTAACGTTGCTTATAAAATTATTACATTTCTGAATAAATTTCAAACTTAAGTTTCTTTTTAAAAATATTTTAGGGTCGTTTTGGTTGCAAAAAAAAAAAAAAAAAAAAAAAAACCATTTTGTATTCATATCAGCATTAATGAGGGAAAGATTCTCGTCAGCTCAGTAATGTCCATTAAAGCTAAGGACCTAATCTAGGCAAACAGCATTTACTTTCCAAAACAGAAGACATTTAACCTTGTCGCACCCTTGCCGGCGCCAGGTTATTTAGCGCCCGAGGCAAAACTTATTGGCAAAACGCCCCCTTTCCCCCCGCCGCAATTTTTTTTCGAGTCCAAATATGAAATATATATATATATATATATATATATATATATATATATATATATATATATATATAACCTATATATACATTTTTTTCGAATCCAAATATAATATTATATATATATATATATATATATATATATATATATATATATATATATATATATATATATATATATATATATATATATATATATATATGACCTATATACAAAAATTGATATAAAGGACCGTGGCTTGTGCTTTTTTTAAGCAACAAAATCCGGAATTGTCCGGATTTACGAAATACATTAATTTTCCAATTTAATGTTTATATTCAAATATGGACATTTGAAAAAGAAACACATAACCCTTAACCTCTCTAAGCTTATTGCTAACCACAGCCAATCAAATCAAAAACACAACCTCAAAAACAAATTTAAACGTAACGCAAACACAAATACAAACGCAAACCTAAACAAAAACGCAAGCACAAACAGAAGCGTAAACATACTTTTTCAAATTGTCATAGTATATTTTTTTTGTTGTAAAATCGTGCAATCCATAGAATATGGGAAGAAAGATCAAGACAGAAGTGAAATTAAATAACAATGATCTATTTTAAATTAACACTACTATAAAGGTTAGTACTCGAGTTATAGGTTAGGTTGGGTTAGGGCTTAAGATTTTATTTAAATACTGTAAACTTTTAAAACATTCTAAGTTAACAAAAAAAAATATACAGAACATAAAGTTTAACGAAATAAAATATTTCAAACCTAATCATATGTTCTAATCTCAATAACAAAACATAAACAGAGGCCATTCTACTTATTTTGGTGTCTGCGGCGGAATATCAACTTCTCTCCCCCCCCCACTCACCTCCTAAATAAATTTATACCAGTTGGCGTAAAAGCCCCCCTCCCTCCCCCCCCCCCCCCCCATTAGCAAAACGTAGCGTTTTTTACCAGCCACATTCTCTTCACCGTTTTATTTTTTTGGAATCACACAAAAGATGTAGAAAGTCATTAAAGCAGGGGCGTAACGAGGGGGGGGGTGCGGACCGCACCGGATGACACCATTTAGGCGGGTGAAACCAAGGCAAAAATAGCAAAATATATACAGAAAAATGATAATTCCACTTAATTAAGTGATTAATTAGAGTTTTAAATAGTCTTTTAAGAGCAAATTTGACAAATCCCGACAAGGGTGGAGGAAGGGGGGGGTGTGTGTGGGGGGGGGGGGGGGTGACACCAAATCGTAAACCTGCTAATGAGAGAGAAAGCATGCTACATCAAGCTGTATTTATATACCATCTATAGAAATAAATAAATCGTTAGCATTATATCTGAGGACAGTTTAAAGCAACCGCTTTATATATATATATATATATATATATATATATATATATATATATATATATATATATATATATATTTACTGGGGGAGAGGGTTGACACCATTAAGTGCCGCACCGGGTGACTCGCTACGCCACTGCATTAAAGCAAAATAACAGTCTATTTCTTAATTTCATCTGTGTCTAATTCAGTAAAATAGCTCAAAATGAGCTTTTTATATTATTTTTCTACGCACCACACGCCCTCTCCTCGTTACGTCTTTGCACCAAATATCTAATTTTCTAATTTTTTTTTATCATAAAGCAAACATTTCAAAACCTAGCCGCTAAAAAACCTAAATCATCAATTTCATGTCCATACTCCATTGCCCGGGGCAGAAGATGGTAATAATCCTACACTATGTGGACAAAAACCGCAAGAGGCTTTTGTTTTAAACACTGGGTGTTAAAAAAGATATCTTTAATGGTTTTTGGACGTTCATTAAACCGGTTCATTTCTTGTTGAGATCAACGGCCAGATGAGACAAAGATGAATGATTGAAGGTCTGAGCACAATCAACAAACATATGTGATAAAGATGAATGATTGAAGACCTGAGCACAAACAAC